GTTGAATAGCTAATAATTCTATACAAGAATTAACAGAACAATTAGCTATTCAACAACAAGATACAACATCAACATTTTATCCGGATAAAATTAAACAACATTTACACGATAATAAACTTATACAAAATGAATTAGATCAACGAAAAGTAGCCATTGAACAATTACAGACAAATATTCAAGAATTATATCAATTAACAAATGGTGATAATCAAACAAATTTTATTAAAGGTAAAATATAGAGTTAAAATCTTATTTGTAAATATTATGTTCTCTTTTTTTTTGTTGTTATGTAGAATTAGATGAGAAACTTTCAACATTAAATGATCAATGGCATCAAATAAATGATCATTTAGAAAATCGTGATGAAAATTTAATAACAATGTTAACATGTTCAGAAATATTTTGGGTAAATTATAATCAATTGTGTAATTTAATTGAAGAAATAAAACAAGAATTAGAGACTATTTATCCCTATTCAACAAGTAAAGATTATATTCAAATACAACAAATAAAACATAATGAATTAAAATTAAAATTATCATTAAATGAGCCAAAATTAAATGAAACAATTCATGTACATGGTGAAAAATTATTAGAATTATGTCAAAATGATTTAGATAAAGATGATATACATCGTAGTATTAAAGAATTAGATCATGAATGGTCAGATATTAAATTAAAATTAGATAATTGTCAATTAGAATTAGAAACATCAATGACAAAATCTATTGAATTTAATAAAAAATTAGATAATGTATCAATATGGTTTGATAATATTGAACAATTGGCACCATTTCTTAGACAAGATGATGAATCACAATTAATTGTAGATGAATCATTTGAACAAATTCGTACAGCAAAAGATCATTTAGATTGTAAATATTTGGATATAATACATTTACAACAAGATTATACAGATATTTTACAAAAACGATCGGATGATGATTATTTACCAGAAATACAAATGAAACAGGAAAATATAATTCATGAACAATTAAGTTCAATTGATGCTAAATGGAATCAGATAAATGAACAAATTCAAGAACGGTAAAATATAGAAAAATGGATACATATCGAGTTCGTCCTGATTGGGTACGAAAGCTCTGCTTTTTACAGGGCTTTCGTAATGCGATAAAAATGCACAAGTGATTAATAACAGGGCTTTCGTAACTTATTTTGTAGCGCTGTCGTATTGAGATTAGTATATAGTTAGAGAGTATGAACAGGGCTTTTGTAACGATGTGTATAGTAAAAGAGTAGTGAATAGGACAAATAAATAATTCGAACATCTTTCTCTTCATTTTCAACTATTAGACAATGTTTTTAGTTTAGAATACTATAATGGAGAATATTTTTCCACAGAATAAAAAGCTTACATCAATATTTTTTTATCAGTCTTTGAATCGGGTTACGAATACCGTGTAAAACTTAGTTACGAAAGCTCTGCCATCATTAGACTATATTTTTACCATAAAAATTAACTATACTCATCGTAGCGAAAGCCCTGTGAAATCGTGTTACGAAGGTCCTGTTAGTGATCCGATAGACTATCTGACTAAGAGAGATTATATTACATAAATACTAGAGTTACGCAAGCCCTGTAGAATAGAAAAAGCAGGGCTTTCGTAATACGAAGACCCTGTAAATTTTCCATGGACGAATCGATATGCTCTCCGAAATATTTGTATCGAATGAAATAAATATCTTCTCTTTTTCTATTTCTAGTAAAACATTATTATATGAAACAGCTCTTAATAATCAACGTATATCTCTTGTTATCAATGATATTTATTCATCTTTGACAGATTGTGATTCAAAAGTTTCAAAAATTGGTGCCAATGGTATTGTTGGTGATGTCAAAAAACTTGAAATGGATATATCTAAATTAAAAATGTTAATTAATGATATTGAATTGATTAGCTATGATATTGAACAATTAAAAGAAACGGTTAATTTAAGTCAAAATGATAATCGTCATGAAAATATTGATGATATACAACAATCAATTGTTGATATAACACGAAAATGGGATACATTATTAAAACGTTCAATTGAAAAATATCGTCTATTAGAATTATATTTACAACAAATTCAAAGTATTCGTGATAATCTTGAACTATTAGATAAAGATTTAGATAATTTAAATAAACGTATTGTTGGTTTTCATTTGAATGCTGTTGGATATGAGACAAAAAATCAAAATGATAAATTTAATGATTTATGTTTAGAATTAAGTTCAAATGAACAACGTTTAGAAAAATTATTTGAACAAATTAATTTAATAAAAAATGATAATAATGAAAATAATCTTACAATATTAACGAATTTATATGAACAATTAAAACTTAAATTTGATCAAGTACAACAGAATACATTAAAAAAAGGACAAGATATAACAGAAATATCAAAATCTATTGAATTATTTCATATAACATTACAAAAATTTATTGCCTGGTTAACAGATACCGAAAGACAATTGAATAATTTAAATCCTGTTTGTCGTGGTATATTACCAACAATTTTAAAACAAATTGATGATCATGATCAATTTCAACAAATGTTAAACGAATATAAAGAGTATCTATTAAATTTACAAAAATTAGGTACACATCTTAAATTTACATGTCCAAAACAAGATTGTACTCTTGTTAAAAATCTATTATTATCTGTTCAACAACGATGGGATAAAATAATCGTTCGATCAAAAGAAAGAACAAGAGAATTAAATAAAGCATATCAAGAAGCAAAACAGGTAGAAACTAGCGCACGTTGTTTATCTTTTGTTTAATATTTTTTGTTTCTCTTTTTCTCTCGTTTTAAAGTTTAACAATGATTGTCAAGAATTAGAACAATGGTTTGATTTATCAATTGAAAAATTAGCTGAACAATCGACAAATAAGAATGAAAATGGCGAATTGAAACAACAACTATTGAAACATAAAGAATTTTCACGTTTATTAGGAACAAAACAGATTCCATACGATCATATACAACGTCAAGGAAAAAAATTAATGGAAATTAGTAATCGAGATAATGATAGGGCGAAATTAAATGAGTTATGTAAACGTCTAAAAGATAAATGGGCAAAATTATGTACCATGTCATTAGAAAGGTAAGACGGTTACTTCAATAATTGAATTTCTACGTCATTTGAACAAGTTAAATATACGTTCATTAGTACTGTTGATACTTTAATCATTGTACTTTCTGTTTTAGACAACGTTATATCGAACATTCATTACTATTATGTGGACAATGTAATGATGCTCTACAATCATTAATTGAATGGTTATCATCTATTGAGCAATCATTGCGTAATGATCGAGTCTATGGTGATATTGATACGGTTATTAATGAAATTGAATTACATAATATAATTGAAAATGAATTTGATATTCGTACATCTGAAATTGAATCAATTAAAGTTACAGTTCGACGTTTAGTCTCTTCATCGTATGATGATGCTCAATCAGCCGAACAACAATTATTAAATCTCGATCATATGTGGGATGAAATGTATGATTTATGTAAAATAAAACATGATAAATTAGAAATAGCCTATGAATATGCACAACGATTTAATAAACAAACAAAAGAGTTACTCGACTGGATAATGAAATGTGAACACTATCTTAAATTTACTTTATCATCCGGAGAAATTACTGATTATGATCAATTGAATGAATTAAATGAAAAATTTGAACAATATTTACAACAATACAAAGAAAAAGAAGTTTCATGTATAGAAATAATTGAATTAGGACAATTTATTTTAGATAAATCTCATCAAGATTCAATTCTAATTATTAAACAATGGTTAAGTGTTATTAAATCAAGATGGATGGATCTTCAACGTTTAACACAACAACGAAAAGAAAAATTAAAAGAATTAAAAATGAATCTAGATGAAAATGAAAATGTAATTAATGAATTAAATCAATGGTTAGAACAGATAAATATACCAATTGATGAAACAGAAATATTACCAACAATTTCAGAACAATTAAATCAACTACTAGATGAACAAATAAGAGTGAATCAAAATTTGTATAGTAGACAAAATGATATTGAACGATTAGTTCAGTTTTATCAACCAACTAATGAGACTCTAACAACGATGCCGACAACTACTACCGCCTATGGTAAAAAAGTGAGCAAATTAAAAAGACCATCAGCAAGAATAAGTGCTTTACCACAACCAACATTGATAACATCACCATCACAATCAAATTTGTCTACAACCATTCAAAATCCTAAAGTTCGAACATTAGTTAAAAAATGGACACAATTAAAAACTATAGGTGAACAAAAACAAAAACGCATACAGGATGCCATTGAACATGAAGAAGCGGTAAATTTTGAATAATTAATTATAATCAACATTTCTATAGTTTTCTATTCTTTTTTTGTTTGTTGTTGATTTAGTTGGAACAAATGCAAAATTTTAGTTTTGATAAATGGCGTCGCCGTTATATCGGATGGTTGAGAGATAATCGTGCTAGAATTATGGATATATTTCGACGTTTAGATCGAGATAGAACAGGTAAAATTAGTCGAGATGCATTTATTAATGGAATATTACAAACAAGTAAGTCTCAATGAAATACGTATTATCAATTTATGCTTCATTTGTTTACCATATTTTATAGATTTTGAAACAAATCGTGTGGAAATGGAAGCAGTTGCAAATCATTTTTATGATAAAGAAAATTTTATTGATTATAGAGAATTTTTTGCAGCACTTAAACCAGAACGAGAGGTTTGTTTTTTTACTAAAATAATTTAAAAATGAAAATAAATTTATTCTTGTTGCTGTAGTTAATTCGACCAGTTACAGATACAGAACGAATTAAAACAGAAGTCAATAGACAGGCAGCACTTTGTCAATGTTCAAAAAAATACGAAGTACAACAAGTCGCTGAGGGACGATATCGAGTAAGTAGAGTGTAATGTGGTCCTTTTCAAAGATAATCTGATATATTTTTTTGTTTTTAGTTTGGTGAAAGTCAAAGTCTTCGTTTAGTAAGAATATTGAGAAGTACAGTGATGGTCCGTGTTGGTGGAGGATGGACAGCATTAGACGAGTTTCTAGTTCGTCATGATCCATGTCGAGGTAAGATATTGTCCATTTTTATTATTAATTAGATGGTCAATAAAAATAACTGTAGGAATGCATGTGTTCAATGAATTTATGGAAACATTGGCATTCACGAATGCCAATATTCCTTTGACAGCGACAGCAGAGAGCTCAGAAAATCTGACAGGTAGATTAAGTATTAAAGGTGATTTGAGAAGAAAAAATAGTTTTCATTGGGTATATGATTATATTTTGTTGCTTGCTTATTGTGTGTGTGTTGGGAGAAGAATAAATGATTTCTTATATTAATTTTTGCTTACAGGACGTTTATATTATATTCAAGAAGATAAAGAAAGTATGACTTAGTAAAAGTATTTTTTGTGTTTTTGAGTGTACACTTAGATTTATTTTTTTGCACTGAAGTTTTGGAATAGATTTGTAAAAAAATATGCACGTCACTATTTGTTATTAATTTATCTGTTAGTGCTGCTATCCATTGAATAGTGTTTTTATATTCAATTGTTGGAATGTGCTGGTAATATTATATTCAAGAGTTGTTAAATATATTCTTCGAGTTTATACTGTAAGACATAAACTGTAAAATTAATTAGTCTCTTGTACAGAAATATTGGTCTGATAATTGACGTTGAAGTTTTTTTATTTACTGTACTATTACGTGTGAGACAATCAATGACTTGGAGCCTTTTTTTTCCAATATATATTTTTATATTTTTGTGTGTAGTAGTTATTTATTGTAAGCATGGATTGTCATAAAATATTTCCTACATATTATTAATAATGAATCATTTTTATTTTATTTAGCTAAAGGTAGAACAAACTACGAATTACATGAACATTATTCGTTACGTGATGGTGTTAGTCAAACAATGAGCTTATTTAAACCGAAAATTATTACTATACATCGACCATCGTGTATCCTTCATCCTCAACAGCAACAACAACTTCAAGCACGTTCAGCAGCTACAACAACACCAAAAGTATGTTTTTCTAGAAAAGCCTCATTATGTACTCATTATGTTATTCATGTCTTTTTATTTAGTCGAAAGACAAATCACAACGTACATCATCTACCATGTCATTGAATCAGGATGAAGTATCGTCAACAGCTTCCGTTGATGATTTATCATCAGTAGCAAGTCCTGATCAAACTCCAAGTATATAGTAGTGAAACAATACTTCGTTGTTGTTTTTTTCTAAAAAAACTTAAGACAAACTTTTTTTTAAACTTTTAGTTGATCAAATAAGTGATATCGATCATTCATCATCGAAACAAAATGGTAACAACAGTAGCGATGGTCCAAATGGTGTAGGAGGAACGTTGAGTCATGCATCGAGTAAAGACAGTATTCTATCTGAACAGTCATCAAATTCTACTCAACGAACGAGTAAATTACCTGTATCAATAAATCGATTAAAGAAACATTCAATACCATCATCAGTTACAAAACCTTAACGCAAACTAGCAACATATCTTAATAGATCTGACAATTCTTTCTCATTATTGATATATATTTATATATATTAATATCTATTTTTTGCCTAGTCACGAAAAGAAAATTCTCAACATTTGGATTATTTGTGCTCTATTTTATTGGATCTCTTTCTCATTGTGCTTTGTAACACATTTCATTTCTTTTTTTGCTAAAAGCATTCTTTTGTTTATTTGTTTTGTTTTTCTTTGTGAATGTTTGTTTTGCTATGTGGTTTTTTTCGTTTTTTGAAGATTCTCTTCCATGTGCACGTGCTCTAAGCTTTCTTCTTTTGTTTAATGTATTGAAAGGTTTAAATACAGTCCGTTTCTTTTTAGCTATAATGAAAATAAAATTCATAATTGGGAATAATTGTGATCATATGTGATGAATGGTATGAACATCAATTGCATACTCATATCAATTTAAAAGAAACAAAATGGTCATATTTACAAGATTCTAATGATTATAAAATCATTTGCTAAAATGAATTTATGTAAAGATACAAAATGGAAGTGTAAACTGTTGAAACAGTGTCAAAAAAGCAAAGATCGTGTCCATTTTTTTTTCCCTAGATCTATTATGAAAATAATAGAACATTCACAAAAGAAGAAGAAAAAAATCCTTTCAACTTTATTTTCCGCATATACTCCATTTTTATCTCACTTTTTTAGACTTTGATGGAGGTATTACCTGATGAATTATTAATACAAATTTGTATTTATTTAAAACCTTATGACGTATTAAATTCTCTAAATAATCTGAATACACGTCTAAATCGAACAATTACAAAATATCGTCAAAATATTAATTTATCGAATATATCCTTTGACGAATGTCAACGTTATTGTACTTTAATTTTACCATCAATAAGTTCGACGATTCGATCGTTAACATTAAGTAATCGACATACACCAAAACAGATAGAAATAGTATTAAATAAATTAAATTTTAAATATCAATTTGAATGTTTAACATTAATCGATTGTACAAACGATGATACAGAACGATATTTAACAAAATTAGAAATATTTCAACATCTTAACGAATTTCATATTTTATCTGATAATCTTCTATTAGAAAATGAAACATTTGTATTGAAAAAATTATTTTCTAATAAAACTCATTTGAACAAAATAGATATAAAATGGTTACTCGGTTTTAGTTTGGAACATATTGTATTGAAACAAAATAAATATATTTTAGATTTAGAAATTACATTAAATAGTATAAACGATCTAATGATATTATTCAATATTGTACCAAATATTCAACGTTTAAACGTTGAAATTGGTAAGTGAACAAAGTCCTAAAGTTGAATAAAATTAAATGAAATAAAAAAAATTCTTTTTTTTGTTCATTAAGGCAGTGATTCCTGTGTATCTAAAATCAAATCATTGAATTTATGTTCATTAACCTACTTACATTTGAAAATGGATAATCGACAATTAAAATATTATACATTTGAATTATTAATGAGATATATTCCAACACTTGAACATGTATCAATAAATATTTCAACTTATGATAAACGATTTATCAATGGACATGATCTAAAATCTTTATTACATAAATTAAAACAATTTCATTGTTCTGTTGAATTAAAAGATAAGGAAATTAATATTGATTATGTTATTCAAACATTTACAACAGAATTTTGGTTAATAGAAAAAAAATGGTATATCAATTGTTATAACGATTTTGATTGTCAAACATTTTATTTACACACACTTCCATATCCATATAAGATAATGTCATCAATTCATCTTGTTAATTCAAAATCAACTTCACCAACAATAATATATTCAACTATTACAGATGTTTTTTTTAATGGACATAACAATTATCTCTTTAGATCATCATTTTTTCAATTTCTTAATCAATTTAGAAATATTCAACGATTAACATTGAGTCAATCATGTTTTATTATGGACAAACAACAGCAACCATTAGTATTATCAAAATTACGTCATTTATCTATTCTTGGCTCATTTGATAATGATTTATCATTGATATTTTTCAATTCTTTATTATCAAAATGTTTAAATATATCATCGTTGTGTCTGTCTTATATTAAAATTCAACTATTAATTCAGAATATTAACAGTGATTATTACCGATGGACAAATTATATTGAACATTTAACTATACATTCGTCTAATGAAATAACTCTCGATGAATTACAAACGTTATCAAAAATATTTCCTAAGATAAACTATTTAAAATTTTCGATACTCAACGACCTATTTAATAAATCGATTTGTATAACTATTGATAATTTTCGATATTTGAAATATCTAAATGTCTATTGTGTGAAAAATGAACGACATAATATCGAAATATTACTCAGACAAAACACGGCCAGATTAAAGAATAAGAAGAATAAGTTTGTTTGTGTTTATTCCGAAGATGAACAAAATGTTGAAATTTGGATCTAATTTTAACGTAATGTAGTTTATTATTTATGACAATTGTATAGTAATAGAATTTCAAAGTTTTGGGCTTTTTGGACCAGTGTCATACAGCATCGAAGACAAAGAACATCCTTGTCTTATGCCAGACAAGAATCGAACTGTGATTGACATGAAGCCATTGATGTTGATTCTAAAGGTGGCTTCTTTATACAATAGACGTGTAAACGCCCTAAATTCATTTTTGAAGCCGAAACGTTCTAGAACTGCATCGAGATATGTGTGACTTACTCGATCAAAGGCTTTTCCTTGATCCCATTGTACAAGACCAAATGCTTCTCGACGTTGTCTGTGATATTTTATTATTGATCGAGCAAGATGAATGTTATCCTGTAGTGTTCGATTTGGTACCGAACAAGTTTGATCCGGATGCACCACTTTTTCCATGACAAGTTTAAGTCGTTGAGCAAGTACTTTGGATATAATTTTATAGTCTACATTCATGAGCGATAGTGGACGATAACTCTTGATGTGTCCTTCAGGTGTGCCTTGTTTTTCGAAGAAGAGTAATTAGTGCTCTTAAGAAGCTAGGACCAAATGTATCTCTCTTTCTGGCAACGTTGATAAGTTGCACAAAATGCTCACTGATCAGAGGAAAGATTGCTCTATAGACTTCAACAGTTAGTCCATCCTCACCTGGAGACTTACCTAGTTCCATTTCCAAAAGTGCAGCGTGACATTCTGTCGCTGTGATGTTCCGTTCTAGTTGAAGAGCATCAGCATCTGAGAGTACTGGTAGCCCATTAAATAATGTGTTCCATGAACCACTATCAATCATCTTCTCTGAATACAAATCTTGATAAAAGGCTTCAGCGACTTCGTGCATTGATTCGATGTCCGACACCTTCCCTTTCGTAGGATGAATGAGAAATGGAATTAGGGATCTATTGGATTCTTGATTTAGCAGTTGCTTCTGAACAGTTAAACGAAGATGTTTTGCACACCGCTCGGGCATACACCTAACATTGGCTTCTGCCTTCGTTTTAAGAATTGTGTGAATCTCTTGTCGAATATCAGCTAACAGTTTCCAATCCTGTTCATCCTCACAGGTTCTCATTAACCTCCTATAATCCTCCTGAAGGGATCGAATTTCATGTCTTAATTTTTGGTTCATCAGTTTTGTTTCCTCTTGAAGAAGACATGTTATACTCAGTTTCAGCTGCTGCCACCACCCTAGGTCATCAAAGTCTCTCGTTATTTTGAACACATCCCATATTTGTGTAAATCTATCCATGAACGTTGACTCTAGAAGAACTTTAGAATTGCAGATCCATCTTCCAAAAGGAATATTAGACTGTGCAAAGGAAAATCGAATTTGAAGACCATCATGATCTGACAACCCTACTGGTACATATTCAATTTGAGTTGTAGCTAGTCGAAGTAATTTAGTGCCGAAGAAGAGATCGATTCTACTATGAGCATTCCTTCCGTAGGAGTGATAAGAATATGTAACTGTTTTAGGATGTTTTGAACGAAAAAGTTCAGACAATTGAAAGGGTTGAACTAGTTCGGCTTTAAGTATTGGGTATGATTGTGTTTCACCTGCAGAATTCTGACGATCACGACGGTTATCAGGAACGCAGTTAAAATCTCCACCTATCAACAGATACTTACTAGAGGGCACATAAACAGATATGTTTCTAAAGAATGCTTTCCGCTGTTCGCGATCTGCAGGTGCGTAAACACTCATGAAAGCAACAGGTTGTTCATCAATGATCATTTTAGCAAAGGCTATTCTTCCATCAGAGTCAGTACCAGAGTCAACGATTTTATATATCGGACGGCTCAAGATGAGAGTTCCACCACATTTCCATGTACCCATACTACAAATAACATTGAAGTCAGGAAACATATCTTTAAACGTCGAGAGCTGTTCCTTTCTGGTCATATGCAGCTCTTGGAGCATAACAATATCAGGTTTCATTTGGGTGACATAAACGCGAAACTTGTTCATTTTATGCGATGAACAGATACCTGCAATATTATATGTGAGAACAAATACCATTTGGAATGAGAGATTATACGGAGATATGCGATCTTAACTGTACAAAGCTTATCTGAATGAACTGTTGAATGAGACAAATGGGTACTCATTCTAAACTGAGGGAGGCTGCTCTTCCTCAACATCACTTGACCAGTGATTCTTTTTCCCAGTGGATTGCTTCTTCACCGTGACCAAATTCGATTCATCTAGGCTACGCTTAAAATTACCATACCCTTGTTGATAATATGACATAGTCATGTTATGTTCTTGCATGATACGTATCTCATCCTGCTGCTGTTCACTTAGTGTTGGATGTTCAGAGACATGCGGACTATTTGGATCGTGTTTTGAACCTTGCGAAACACTCTCAAAAACTTCGTCCGTTTCACTACCTGTATCTGAAAGGACATGAACATTAGTTATCTCTTCCATTTCAATGTTTTCCGCTGCAACTAAAGTTGTATTATTCTCATGTACAGCATTTCCTCCCTGAAAACCATCAGCATCCTGCTGTACATGAACCGGCAATGGAACCATACCGTTGTTATCACAACTTAAAATTACCAACGTATCTGGATGTTCCGTACTCACTGAAGACCTTGTATTTGTTACAGCTCGCTGTCCACGACTATTGGGATATTCTTTGCGAGATTTTACAGTATTTGCGTATGAAGGTGACTGATTGCAGTTCTCATGACCAAACTGACGACATGATGCACATTTAACTGCAGAACAATCTCGTTTCAAATGGTCATCCGCTCCACAGCGAAAGCACGTTCGCTTACGACCCCTTAAATCAACCATCACTCTGAAACCTTGAATATTAATAGACACCGGAACCGTGTCAATTGCTTGCTCATTAGCGAATCTCACTACTAGACGACGAGAACCGGTTATAACATGCTTAAACTGGTTACCTGGTAGAGTTTCACTAGATTAATTTACGATTTCACCCCATCGTGATGCAACAGCTTTTAGTGTTTCATCCGAGATAGGTGGTGGGACACCGTGCAAGTGAATGATACGTGTTAACGAGCAGGCATCAGAC